TTGTTGGGTATCAATGCAAAATCTTGTCTGTTTTAGATTTTTGTAATTGGGTGAGACCATAGTTGATTTTGTTGCGGATTGTTGGAATGCCATACTATAGGTATTTTAAGTTGAGGATTGCAAGCTTTATACAAGTCCTGTGAATATGGAGGTTATTGATTTTGTGTCTATTATATGTGGCTTTTTTGATTGTTGTCTACTATATGTGGCTTGCCCTATTATTTGGAAAACTTATGGGTGTTGCTTTTGATCTGAAAAGCTTATGGGAAACTTAGGGGTGCTGCTTTTGCCCACCTATTTCTTATTGTTCTTGCCTTTGCTGGCTAGTGTAGTGAAGAAATTGCTAGGTCTGTCAATGGGTTGAGTCCATCTGACAGAACTGAACTAACTGAATCGATTATGTTGGTTCTGGTTCTGTGGTTTTGTCCCAGTTAATAATTGGGTCAGGACTGGTTCTTTCTGTTTCATGCCGACTCAGACCTGAAGCAATTATATAGTTTTTTTGAGAAAAGGTAAAGCAATTATATAGTTAATAATATATGAAGGCCTTCTGGTTTTCTTGTAATTTTTATTATATTCTATGTCCAAACTCCAAAATGGTAAACTTTATAGATTGTATATAAGATAATTTTTAAGGTTATATTGTTAAAATAAAGTTTAAATTGTTATTATCATTGGAAATTATAGGTGTCATGTATAATTGGGTCTAGTCGGGTCAGACTCTGTTGTCCCGATTAATAAATGGGATGGTTCTGGGTCTGTCATATGGAGCTGATTAATAATCAACTTGGGACTGATTTATCAAAAAGAAAAAAAAATCAGTTTGGGACTGGTACGGCCTGTCCCAAACCAGACCCTACCCATTGACAGCTCTAGATATTGGAAAAATAAAAATGAAGGGCCTTCTATAAAGGGGGTGAAGAGCTTAAATTACATTTGGTAGATTGGAAGAAAATTTGTAGTCCAAAGAACACATGAGGTTTGCGTGTGAAATGATTGGAGACGTTGAACATAGATGATAGCTCTTTTAAGCAAATGATTTTGGCATTTTAATGAGTAGTGGGATACCTTATGGAGGCAAGTTATTGCTTCCAAATATGACATAAGGAATTTGGATTGGGGCCAAATTGGGTTACATTGTCTTGTTTGTTTGTGGTATCGAAGGGGATTGAGAAGTCTTATGGCGATTTCATAAAAGGCATCAGCTACAAAATTACTAATGGTCCCTCTATAAAAAGGAGCCTGTTTTGAGGTTTCTTTCTCCCCCTATTCTCCCATTGTCTCTTAATTGGGATTTTGGGTTCCGTAGAGGGTTGAGGGATGAGAAATCGGTTTCTGCCTTTGAGCTCTTACTTTTACTTGATTCTATTTGTTTGGACCCTCCTAAACTAGATAGAAGAATTTGGTCTTTGACCTCGAGTGGCTCCTTCTCTTGTTCTTCCTTCTTTAAGTCCCTATGCTTTATTCCTTCCCCTTTGTTGTTCCCAATTAAAGAAGTCTGGTCAAGGCCAATTCCACCTAAAATTGATGGTTTTTGTTGGGAAGTGTATTATGGTAAAATTAATACTGTGGACAATGTACAAAAAAGGGGACCTTATTTATGCTTGTCCCCCAATTGGTGCATTTTATGTAAAGTGCAGAATGAGGACTTTTATCAACTATTCATTTCTTGCTCTTTTACAATAAATATTTGGAATTGGGTTGTTATGCTATTTGGGTATAGGTGGAACCTGCCTCCTGAAGTAAATCTACTTTTTGATCCGTCTTTTTTTGGTTGGCAAACAAAGAGGGAAAGTAATGTGGAAATGTATTAGGGCAGCCCTCTTATGGACCATTTGGGAGGAAAGAAATGCCAAAATTTTCTAGGAGAAGGAGAGAAGTCATTATTGAAATAAAGGATTGTATACTTACCAGGGCAATCCTTTGGCTAAAAACTACAGATCTCTTTGGTGATTACTCTAGTGATGACCTTCGAAGGAGTTGGGCAGCAGTGGCCTTCACATCATCCAAGAAAAATAGAACACAAGCAAGTTGGTTACCCCAGTGGACCATCGGGTATAGGAGGGATCTTGAGGAATAAGGAGGCAACATTCTGTCCTTATTCTTAGGTCCAGTGGGTTATGGAGACTCTACAAGGGCTGAGATATTAGCTGTGGTACAAGGACTACAGATTTCCAACCAACTTGGAGCGACTAATGTGATAGTTGAAGGAGACTCTAAGGTGATAGTGGGATGGATGTTGGACCCAGAAACTGTTGTTTGGGGATATATGGACATCATCAAAAAAGTCAAATGGCTTACGAGAACCATGTCAGTTAGCTTTCAGTGGGTTAGTAGATCGACAAATGCTTTGGCAGATTCTTTAGCTAAACAAGGGGCTTCAAGGGATTCTCTGTTTTTGGCTATTTGGAACCACCTTTAAGGGGAGGAAACACCTCATTCCTCCTCTTAGGGTGCTTTATGCTTGTACTGTTTCTATCTCTATTTAATAAAATACCACTCGTTCATAAAAAAAATAAGTTGGGTGATGATTGGCCACTTGTGGAGGCTTCTATTCATTGCAGCTCATAATAGGGAAGCACTTGTAAATGGATGTTATAATGAATAAAAAATTGTAGTCATATGGAACCCTCGCCTCATAAGAAATCTCAATGACTGGGAAGCAGGGTCATGGCAGAACTACTGCAAAAAATTCAGAGTGATACCATGTGTGGCTCAATAAGATAGGAGGGTGTGAAGTGGGATCATTTAGGTTCTCTGGAAAGTAATGTCTGTGTTATGCTCTGTGAGGGCTGAAACTGTAATTCATCTTTTCCTACATTATCACTTTACCAGACTTATATGGGCTTGAGTCTTTAGGCTCTTTTGGGTGGAAAAAGTGCTTTCTTTCATTGTTGGCGTCTAAAAGGCTTAAGCAATAGAAGAATAGCAAGCTGGAAGATGATGTCCTTTGCTGACCGATCAGAAAAAAAGACGACAACTTTTGCTATCCTTTGGTGCATTTGGGCTGAATAAAATGCGAACATCCTTGAGACTTTAGGCTCTTTTGGGTGGAAAAAATGCTTTCTTTCATTGTTGGCGTCTAAAAGACTTGAAGGAATAGAGGAAAAGCAATGTGGAATATGATGTCTTTTGCTAACCGATCAGAAAAAAAAGACGATAACTTTTGCTATCCTTTGGTGCATTTGGGCTGAACAAAATGCATACATCTTTGAGAACAAATTCAGCATGGATAAGGGGGCACCTTGTCTTCATGGATGTATTTGTCATTTAGAGGAGTCCCACAGTTTGTATTTTGATCTGAACATTTTATTTCTGATACACTGGCGCATAATCCTTGGTGTACATGGGTTCTGAGGTAATCACATGTTCTTATATTAAATACAATGCTTTACCATTCAATAAAAAACAGAAATCCTTTTGCATCCATAATTCATAGATTTGCATTTATCTGGTCTTTTTTTTTTCCCTTTCATTTCACATGTGATATACTTTGTATCATAGGGGATGGTGTGTCAAGGGAAAAAATTGAAGGGATAGAGTTCAACTTGTTTGAATCTTGTAGTTCTGAGGAAAATCTCTTATACTGGTATTTTCTATCTTTTTTTAATTAATTTAATGTAGGATGGGTATTATATCGATCATCCCATTGAGGGGGATGGTTCATTGAACTCAGGGATTGAAGGTTGCTTCTTCTGCTTGCTTGTCCAGCTGGGGATTTGATTTAGGTCCCAGAATTTAAGATGTGCCTAAAACTCGCATCTGTAGATAGGCTTGATTTCTCAGCAAAACACAAGTAACAAAGCCCCATATTTTGTTTCTTCCACCTTAACAGCAGAGCTAGGTGCAGTAGTGCAGATACAGATCTAGATGTGAAATTTTCCCAATCTTTGATTGAGAAAAACTAATATTATTACTTGATGAATACCCATCACTCCTAATAAATTGGAGGTAGGCAACATGAAGCACCTAACAGCTGACAAAAAACAAAATCAGATACTGGGACCTTAAATTACAATTGTTGCCCCTGGACCTGGAGCTTCCTGTTTCACTCCCGTCCATGTTAGACTATCCACCAAGCTATTAGCAAACCATGGTGTCTAGCAGCTGAATGAGCAAATCAGATTGACTGCCAATACCGTAACTCGTAATTGGTGTTGTAGACAGGTCCTTGAGCCTTTGATTTAAAACCAACTAATCACCACCTGGCAATCAAATTCCACTAACATATCTATTCACTCCTTTTCTGCTTTAAGTCTCAGTCCATTCAACATAGCTAAAAGTTCAGTTCTTAGTTTCCGGTCTCTTCTGTTCCTGATGATTCCAATCCAATTCATAACCCCTTGATTGAACTAAAGGGCTGTGTTTATAGCCTGATTTGATGGGGGTGGGAGTGGGGTTCTTTTAGATGGCCTGAGAGGTAATCTTGGTTCTCTTAGGCATAAGGTTTTATATCTTTTATGTTTTTTCAGGTCTTTATTCTGATGTCAAGGCTTTTGCTTATGATTAGGTGTATGATGGACAAGCTATGGAAATCTTGTCATTAATTCTGGCTGCTTGGTTTTTCTCATTCTCTCCTATTAAGCAGAATGTCTGTGTTGTTTAGGAATTCTGAAGCAGTTCGCATTTCGTGTTTCAAAAGTCTTAGCTCTCACTCTAAACAAGCAGTTCATAACTTGTTTAGGAAATTCATTGTTTATGTAACAAGCTCAAGAGACGTTTTTTTTTTTTAATGTTTAGTCTGAGCTCTTAGTCTAAAAGGCTTAAGAGTCTTAGGGGTTGATTTATAATTAATGGCTGAATTGACTATCTGAATAACATAGTGCTTTGCATCATTGTCATTTATTTTGTATACTTATGAGGGGTCCTGGAGGTCTTTCTTACTAGTTATAATTTCTGTGTAATGTAAAATATCATTTCTTTGGTTTCAATTAATTCTTACATAGTTACATATGGACCTTCAGTACTTATGTTTTCCTTGTTGCATTATTCCTTTACAGGTGTGGGTAAGAGTTGCCTTCTATTGCGTTTCTCGGATGGGTCTTTCACCACCAGTTTCATTACTACCATTGGGTATGTGCTCTCTAACCTTTATTTTGTTGGTATTGGGCTGTTCAATAAACTATAAGAGTCCTTTTCAGAAATTAACTTCTGATTCCAAGATCATGGTTTCTTCTGCAGTATCGATTTTAAAATAAGAACCATTGAACTTGATGGTAAACGAATCAAGCTGCAAATCTGGGATACAGCTGGTCAAGAGCGGTTCCGAACAATTACTACAGGTAGATATATATGTGAATGAAACTTGGTCCCTTTGTTTTTGTTTTTTATTTTTTATTTATTATTATTTTTTTTGGGGGGGGGGTCTTAACCTCATCTTCACAAAATAATCCCAAGTTTGATATCAGTCCATCGAGATATTTGGTCTAAGATACGTTTTCCATTTGGCTCATGGCCTTATTCCATGCTTAATTCTTATGCAATATACTTGGTGTTTGTGAGAGAGAGTGATTTTGGGAGACCAGGTGCTAATGTCCTTGTACTGATTTACTTCCCAGTAATTTAGTTCTCATTGTCTCCTTGGATATTTTGCAGCTTACTACCGTGGTGCCATGGGTATTTTGCTGGTTTATGATGTTACCGACGAGTCGTCATTCAACAGTAACTGCCTCTTCTTTCTTATCTTTTGAAGCTGGAATAGATAGATCTATTATTTTACAAGCAATAGGATTTTGAAATTTCCATCCGCCTAAAGGAAGAATCAGCCATCTACTTCATTGGCTCTCGAGTTGAATATTCTTCCCTGACCTATTTTTTGCACAAATAGTACTTGGAGGATGTTGCTTTGCTATTAAAGGTGGAATTTAGCTAATTTTCATTTTCTTTTCTTGTTTTCACTAAATCTGGTTCATCGTCATGTTCAAAGATATCAGGAACTGGATCCGCAACATTGAACAACATGCTTCTGATAATGTCAATAAAATACTGGTGGGAAACAAGGCTGACATGGATGAAAGCAAAAGGGTAACATTCTGCTAAATTTGTCCATCCCATAGAAATTTGTGCCTTCTAGTATTTTGTGGGGTGACTGGGGTCTATGATACCTGTACATGGATGCAGTATTGTGCTAGATGCTTCAACTTTAGTGCATATTTCTTATCCAACACCTTGTGCAGCCTTGTTCTTGCCTTGTCCAGGTATCATAGGGTGGGACCATAAGCTCTTGCTTGCTGTGCAAGTTCCTGCTTTTGAGTAGAGCTGTTGAGTTGCTTGTTGGGTCCCTGTATCCTGTCTAAAACACGAGGACAGGCTGTTATTGCTGTTATTTTCCCCTTTCTTTCAGTTATTTAAAAATAATAATAATTTATAATCAGCTTTCTTTCATCATCATCATCATCATCTTTCAATAATGAGTTGAATTAAAAGAAAAGAAACCATTGATTTTCTTTTTCTTAGGCTGTTCCTACCTCTAAGGGCCAAGCACTTGCTGATGAGTATGGCATCAAGTTCTTTGAGACTGTAAGTAGAACTTGGTTACTGATATTTGATTCTCTACGCCAGAATAGATGGTCCTTTCTCTGTAAATCCTAAAATATACTTTATGTTCTGTAGAGTGCAAAAACGAATTTAAATGTGGAGCAGGTTTTCTTTTCCATAGCAAGGGATATCAAGCAGAGGCTTGCAGAGTCTGACTCCAGGGCTGAGGTATAAGATTTATAAGATAAATTTGTATCATTTTATCTGCCTTTCTCCCCTCGAAATCTTCCGGGCAAAAACTGGTGTAGAGGGCATTCAATTGCCATGCTTCACAGGTCAACCATTCGGTGATCTGTGTCCTTGAAATTGATGCAGCACTATTACATGCTTTGCTTTGGGTTTATGAACTCCTATTGGTCTAGTTTTCATTGTAAACCTTTTTGACTTCTACGTGACATTTCTTTTGTTTTGAATGGATGCAGCCCCAGACAATAAGGATTAACCAACAGGATCAGGCTGCTGGGTCTGGCCAAACTGCCCAAAAATCAACTTGCTGCGGTTCTTAAAATGATGATGTGATGGCAAGCGAGGAGGGTGAGAGGGGGGGCTGGTCCAGGCGGTGAAAATATTGTTGAAAAATCTAATTGTTTTATATATGGAGGATGTTTGTATTTTTCTCCTTATCATTCTTTCACCTACTACTTGTTTTTAGTGTGCGAAAGGTAGTTTTTCACTTATTGGAGGAATTGATTAATGACAGACGGTCATTTTTTCCTTCTTTTCTTTTTGGTCTGGGATAGAAGAACCCTGATATTGTTCCTGTCCTTAATGTAGAAAGATGAATAGATGCAGCTTTCAATTTCCTTGTTTAATCGTTCCTTTTGCCCTTTATTTTGTGGCCGGTGGCCCAACTTTCACTTGTCCTCTTTGGTTTGACAAATTTGAAATTGTACTTTCATTATATGGAGCAGAGCTGCAGAAGTGGTTGTGTTGAACTTGAACCTTTTACTCTTGATTAAACATACAAAGTTCAAATCAACTTTGTTAGCAGATAAGTATTAATTTTATATAGGAATGAGCGTATTTATACGAATATTATTCAATAAAGATTAAATGGGTATTTGGAACAAATGTTTGGATCGGATTTAAATTGTGACAAATAGATACCATTTGCACTCCAATATACAGAAGTACAGAACTCAATGACAATCCTTCATGCCGTGTTTGGTTTGAAAGTAAAAGAAAGGAAACAAACATCTTAATTAATTTCCCTTGACCTTACTTTTCTTTCAGACCAAACACATCCTCAACTATGATTTAATATGCCGATATTATTTTAAACTATTGTTTTTGGCTGTGCTGACATGTGGCGTAGGCGGAATGGCTCATCCCAGATGTATTATTGGCTATGGGGGTGCAAATTGGTTCCATGCAAAATTCTTCATCCTTGCCCAAGTTGCATTCCCTAATTTTCTATGTTCCATTTTTTCTTCTACTATACTACATTGGATTTTCATTAATTTTTTGCTTTGATCTTGTAGTATATTAATTACGTCTTGAAGCAATTTGAAATAAATATTCTACTAATGTTTTGATATATTCATCTGATGACCTATAATTGCACTATTTTCTAACATTTGATGTGTATTCCTATATAATTCATACTTCAAATGCAAAAATCTAATCATGTAATTTTTATATATCTATACTTTATCTATAGCCCTTTGACCTTTATTTAGATTTTTTGTTACTCAAGTATATTCTCTTCTTATATATGCATTCTTACTCTAACCATTTCTGGCAACGAATAATGTCACCACCTTCGTTATTTTATTTAAGCATTTACTTTTTTTTTTTTTTTTGTCAATCATCTTCTTTTCTTGTTGTTTACATTTGATATTAAGCAACATCACCTTGATTGTGATTGTTTAGAGAAGAAATTTAAATTTTTAACGGAAGCACCAAATGGCATTGGATATTGATAAATGATAACAAACCCTTCTATGCCAAAATAAGATTTTTTCTTTTTCTTTTTTCCGTTTTTTAATCATGTAGTTTTCATTCAAAGAAATAGTTCTCTGGAAGGAAAGTATGGGAATTTTTTTTGAACCTTGACAGTTTTCTAAGGGCATATGGGTAATTCCTGCCCTTAGCGATTGAGGAGCACTTAATATGGGTACACGTTCTGGATGCATTTACTCTTAAGCCAATGACATTGGGGTTGTGGTCGGTCCGATGCCTCTTCAGGTCCTCCTACATGACTACGATATACGGAACGGTTGTACATCGTGCATTGCTCCCCACCTGGGCGACTCCTATTATAAAAGAGACTGCAACCAGAGATAGGCATGCATACTTTAATTATCACTTACACTCTTGTGGTGATTTCTATTCTCTTTGAACCCTCGGCTAACTTGATCGATGGAATCCTTGCCCCTGGAAACACTTCCGGGGCAAATTGTATAGTATACGTTAGATTTGGCAGATTGGGCAGCACCAAATACCAATATGTATAGTATACGTTAGATTCAAGGCAAATTGTATGGTTCAGATACTGCACCTTGAAACCAAAAACGTGACTACGTGAGTAAACCATACGATTAATCGATATTTAAGGTGTCCTAAATATTTAATCTAAATACAAATATGCACATTCATAATGTATTTATGTATTTCGCTATTTGCACCGAACATATTTGTATTTGCACTTAGAATTGCTCCTGCATATAATATATGGTCACATCTCTATCTTTATTTGATCAATATAGCTTAGGTGATTGCACGACATCATAAAAGTAGTAACCAATCATGTGGATTTTCATTAAAATTCATCGCGAGTTGTGATTTTCGCTGTTATGTCTTTCCGGGATTATAGATTTTTTATTTCATATTTCTAGCATTCCACCATCAGATGGTTCTAATCATCGTTGATTACAACTTTTTGATATTATTAGTAGCCAAAAATTTAAGCTCCCCCTTGAATTTTTGATTAATATCACTACCAGTTGATTCAAAAACACTTGATTTTAACAGATTCAAATTTTACTTTTTACCCTTAAAATGGTGTGGATCCTGATTCTATAAAAATGGCACGGGTGGCTGCTATTTATGATTCAGATGAGAGGCTCTCTTTATTGAGAAAAGAATTGTTTAACCAGAGTACAGGGAGAGAGTCTGGGAGAGTATGAGATTTTCCATCATTAGAAATTTAGAACAAACAACATACGCACATGGCTAAGTTAGGCTCCTAATTGCCCAAATCTCAAACCTCTACGATCCCCATTCCCCACCTATCTGGTGTGGTTGGTGGAAGTTGCAAAGCATTGATTGAGTTCATCTCTCTCAGCTGGTGCTCATCACTCAGCCAACAACCTGCCGCTCCTACTTAGGTCATGTTTGAGATTGCTTAACTTAAAAATAAGTGTTTATTGGAATAAAGCACTTATTTGCATTTGATATCCAACTTTTTCTAGTGCTTATTTTTTTAAGATAAGTACTTATTTTATATTGGGCGTTGGATAATCTTTTTCTCTAATAAGCAATTAAATAAGCATTTATGACAATTTTCTCTTTCATCTTCTTTTAAATTTTCAAAATATACCCTTTAAAAGCACTTTTATTAAATTACTTTTATAAAAATACTTTTATGAAAGTACTTTTACAAAAACGTTTCTATGAAAATATTTTAATGAAAGCACTTTTACAAAAGCATTTTTATAAAAGAACTTTTATGAAAGCACTTTTAAAAAAATATCCTTACGAAAGCACTTTCATGAAAGTTCTTTTATGAAATCACTTTTATGAAAGTACTTTTACAATAAAAGTGCATTCATAAAAATACTTTTATAAAAATGCTTTCATGAAAGTGTTTTCAAAAAAATACTTTTATAAAATTCAAATAGGGATAATTTTATAAGTGGTATTTTAAAATTCAACTAATTATAATTTTGGAAGAAAAAAAATTGAATAAGTGCTTATGCTTAATGACCCAAATAAACAATTATTTTTATTTTTAAGCACTCGTGGCCTTAGGTGGGTGTCGGTGGGTTGGACCGAACCCCCTCAGACATTCCACGGTATATATAATTATATACAGGTATATCCACTTATTTGACGTACAATATGTAGTGATCATCGGGTGATGAATCTTCACCGTTCAGTAATGAAATATCAATTCAATTCAACCCCACTAACCCAGCATCAGCATTCAAGCTACCCGCCCGATACACGCTGCAGTCAGTAGCCTAATAGTCGTTGTTGTTGGGTTTTAAAAGAGGTGGTTAAACAATAAATATATTAATCAATCCCTTCACTTTCCATGAATTAATTCTCTTAATTTTCAGCTTGTTAGCTGTGTTCTTCTTCCTCTTCTTATTGTTATTCATTACAAATCCTTGGCAATTAATAGATTATCAAAAGAATCTCTTGAAAGCAATAGAAAAATATAGAAAATATAGTTAGTTTCATAGTAAGCCACCGCTGTAAGGCACTCCTGTGGCAGGTAACCAGTCATCCCCCAACACAAAGTTGGAGACAGTGAAATTGGCTGCATCTGTAGCGTTTATCGCATGGTAACCCTGCCACGAAACCCTGTTCGTTGTCACTGATCCAGCGCCTGTATTGTTGTATTCCGCGTAGTAGAGTGTGCTCAGTGCAAAATCTCCAGACCATGCTATCCAACCAGCTGGATCTATGAAGCTATCAATGAAAGATTGCAGATAGACAGTCCTAGAGTACTCTTTCCATGGTCGTCCTAGATAAGAGCTTGTAGTTCCATTGCTAGAAACCAAGTCTGGAGT